CTGGCTTAATTAACATAAACCACCATAAACCACCTTAAACCACCATAAACCACTGGCTTAATTAACATAAACCACCGCAAACCACCTTAAACCACCATAAACCACTGGCTTAATTAACATAAACCACCGCAAACCACCTTAAACCACCATAAACCACTGGCCTAATTAACATAAACCACCGCAAACCACCTTAAACCACCATACACTACCGACGGCCAAGTACGATGCAGCGCAGCAGCGCTGCGCGCCAAGCTGCCAACCTGCGCCAGCGCGGCAGCTGCATTGCGCAAGCGGTTGGCAACGCGTCATTCTTCTTATTGTTGCCGACGCGCCCACTTGCCCATCGCGGTGAACCGCGCGCCATCACGACTTTGCACGTCGCGCACGTTAGTTGCGACGCCGTGGTGCCACTTGCAAGCGAACAACAATCGCGTCGTGTGCGTCGGTGCCGAGCAGGGCCGCGCTGCGACTAGCGCCGCTGCCCCCCCCCCCCCCCCCGCCCCCCCCCACCCCCCCCCCCCCCCCCCCCCCACCCACCCACCCCCCCCACCCCGCACAACGCGCACATCACGCACTCCGCGCACACACTCACAACGCGCACAACGGCACACACACACACACGCGCAACACGCACACACACACACACCACACACACACACCACACACAGCACCCCCACCCCCCCCCCCCCCCCACCCCCCCCCTCCCCCCACCCCCCCCCCCCCAAACACGCGCACAAAACACCGCGCGCGCCCCGCCACCACGCACCACCACCCCACCTCTTTGCCCCCCCCCACCCCGCCCACCTCCAACACCACCCCCGCCCCCCGCCCGCCCACTCACCTGCGCGCGCCGCGACCGCCGCCGCCGCTGCGCGCGCGCTCTCGCGCGCGCCCGCTCGCGCGCAAATGCGCGCGCGCGTCCTGTGCGCGCGCGCCTTGCTCCATGCGCGCGGAAACCAACTGCGAATGATCCCCAAACCACCGCGCGCCGCCCGCCGCTCATTCACCCTGCCTGCGCGCTGATCTCGGCGCCGCCCATTGTCGACTCGAGTGCGCTGCCGCCACTCAGAATTGCGCCGCCCTGGCCACTCGCGCCTGAACGTTCAGCCGCTCGCGCGCCCGACCTGGCCAGCGCGCGCTTGGCTGGGCGCTGTCGCTGTGCATTCCTATGGTAAGGTAATAGACGGCCCAAAGGCGATAGCGCGAGGTTGCCCGCGGCCCAAGGGCCTAGCCTCAAGGTTACACGTGGTGGTTTAAGTTTTCGCCCTCCCCTAGCAGCGGTTTTGTTTTGGTAGTCTGTCCCACAGCGTGCAACGAACTGTGCAGATTGGTTGGTGCAGTTAGCGAAAAGGGATCCTAGTCGCCGCGGCCGCAAAGGCACGGCCTTCTACGTCGGCATCTGGACCACGGGGTGGCGTCGATCAGCAGTTTCGGGCGCGCCGTCTGGTGGCACTGAAAGTGCGCCGCGCGCGCTTTCAGTGCCACGGGTCGGCGCGCGCGCACGCGCGCGCGCGGACTGCCTCCAGAACCATCACTGCGCAGCGCGCGCCATGTCACGCGCGCGAACGGCCACCATCAACGCCGCTACGCCCACCGCCACGCGCGCAAGCATGCGCGCGCCACCGAACACGTCCAACGTGCAAGCGCTCTTGCTCACGCCGACATTGCCACCGTTCACCGCCACCGCCGCGCGCCCGCCTTGCCGATGCCCACATCTCGGCGTCCGCGCGTTGGACCTTGACTTGCCCCCCCCCCCCCCTCTGCACCCCCGCCCCCCGCCCCACCCGCCCACCCCCCGCGCCGCGCGCGCGCGCATGCACGCACTCACGCGCACATGCAAGCACTCGCGCACGCACGCGCGCACGCGCGCGCGCACACGCGCGCGCGCACCGCGCGCCACCCCGCACCCCCCCCCCCCCCGCCCGCCACCCTCCCCGCCCAGCCTTTCCAGCCGCGCACCGCCTGCGCGCGCCGCCCAGCCAAGCCTTCATCGCGAATGCGCCTCTCTTCCCCGCCCGCCCCCCTTGCCCAGAGAACAGCGCGCCCGCCTGCAACTCGCGCCCACGCGCGCATGCACGCAGACCTCATTCACCGCGCACGCATGCACGCGCGCGCACGCCCCCCCCCCCCCTTCCTCTACCGACCGCCCCCCCGCCCCCCATCCACCCCCCCACCACCGCGCACAAACGCGCGCATAACCACCACCACCGCCATTGCCACCCCACCCCGCCGACCACCAGCACCATAACCGCGCGCCCCCTTATCCCCCACGCACGCACCCGCGCATCGACACCACCGCGCCACAACGCAGCGCTTACCATGCATTGCTCGCGCTATCGCCGCAACAACCATGGTGAGCCCGACAAAGCCACGAAGCGACTGACTATTGCAACGTCACTGGCGCGATGGTTGGTTTCTCCACGAGCCATCGCTTGACCACATCAAACGTCAACCTCGGACGCGATCGCGAGCGCAGTATCATCGCTACCCACTTCCAGCTGCATGATACAAAACAGGCGCACGACTGCACGCGCGGCGCCCCCCACGTTTCGACGATGCGCCATGTGCAGCCAATGCGAACCAAACCGCGCTTTGTCGGGGAAACAAGCTGCAACGGCACAACGCAGTGCAAAACGGACACGCCTCTTCCTCATGCGTGCTCTTCCAGCCTCTTCTCTGGGCAGAAACCACGTGACGTGGAAAACGGCGCGCGCTCGGGCTCCGGTGCTCTGGTGCAGGGGCGATCGTCCCGCGCCGACATTTCTAGATACCAATGTAGTTAAACCAGCCATGCAATTAAACGTACTCTACTATAGATTTCAGCCATGCATATTAATATTGTTGGGTTTCTCGTGCCCGATGGGCTTTCAAACGTTAAAAGGGCCAGCCAAACAAGCATGTATTGCAAAGCGTCCATCGCAGGTCCTGGCCCTGGCTTCTTGCGCCCCAAAACAGGACCCCTTTTATACGCTGCAAAGCCCTTGTGGGCGCGGATCACTGTGACGCCTGTTGGTTGGAATGTTGCCCCCCCTCCGAGCTGATAAACAAAAGGAACAGGGGGACTTGGGGGCGCTTCCATTGGTTTTAGGGCCACCCACCAAACACGCGCAATGATGTCTTCAAGTGTTCTGGGTGCCCCGATAACGACCTGCAATGATGCCCTCCGTGGCTGTTTTGGCTCGAATCAAGTTCGTTTCTTCTTTTCTCTGTGTAACCAACAATATCAGTGGTTGCTTCCGTGACGAGAGCAGCATGGTCAAATCGAGGGCCGACCTTCAGACAGAGAACGCCGAGCTCAAACAGAAGGTCAAGAAACTCCAGAAGGCAGTGAACGACAAAGACAAGGCTCTCGCTGCCATCAACGCACTTGGTCTCAAAATCTATGAGGTATCGGATAAGCAGATCCCAGAGGACACCCCCCGTGTCGCACCGAAGGTGAGCAAAAAAAAGAAGGGCTACGGTGGCCCACCGCCCGTACTTCCGCTTGGCTACATTCCAGAGTCCCAGCGCGACGACTAGTTCGTTCGTCTGCGCGGGCGCAAGAGCGACCCGACAGCACGAGAGCCTGCTCATTTTTGCCACCAGTCTCCTGTCGCTAGCTCTGTGCAGGCCTCAGTCGCTGTTCGGTGCAGCCCCCAGTCGCCTGCTATTTTGCGTGCCGCGAGCCTGCTGCTCAGTGCAGCCCCCAGTCGCCTGTCGCCAGCTGTCTTGCAGTTCGCGCGCCTGGTACGGGTATGGCCGAGCGAATCTTTGTCACCATCAGTGCGTACCAGTGCCCATCAGTCCATCAGTGCGCACCGTGGGCACTCATCAGCGATGCATCGCCCTGGCCATCGCCAGCCTCCCTTTTGTTGGGATCCCCGCGCCCCCCATTAGCAGCCAGGGGGGGAAGCATGGCCTAACGCTTGATCGAACCACGCTCCGATGAGCACGGGGGCAAGGCTGAGGAGGAGGAGGAGAAGGAGGAGGAGTAGGAGTAGGAGTAGGAGGAGGAGGAGGAGGAGGAGGAGGAGGAGGTGGGGGATAGGGAGTAGCAGGAGAAAGTGGAGGGGGTAAGGAGGAGGGCGAGGAGGATCGTGATACTGAGGACCAGCATGAGGTGAAGGACGAGGAGGCTAGGTATCATGAGGATGAGGGGGCTGCTGATCTGAAGGATGAGGTCAACGCGTGCTTGGGCATTCAAAATTAACGGCCGCGGGCCACTAAACGTGCACATGACAAAATCAACAACGAAACGTCAACAATAAATACGACGACGAAGAAGACTTGGATGATAAGAAGGATGAAAAGGCCGCTGCTACCGTCCTGGTCTGCACTAGGTTGCGCCACCGATGCCACTTCGGGTCCCTAGAACGCGTTTGATTGCAAAGTCCCAGGTCTGATGGGGTCTCCAGGGTGTACAAAAAGGCGTGACTGGGCATGGTCGTAGACAGCCCTCCCCCTATCCACACCCCGTTAAGGCTCCTGGGAGGGCGGTTTTGGCAGAGCACAGTTCGCAGCACATTCTGGAGGGACCCTTTGCGTTTTCAACTCCCTCATGTTGTGCACGCGTCCGGCTCCGCAGAGCCAAGTGTCCCACAATGGCCCAAAGTGAGCTGGTCGGATCTTGGGCTCCGTTTTCGCTCCTCCTCCCCCTCCCCCTCCCGTGTCTGGTCCGTGAGCTGGCCGTCTTTCTTCACGCCTTGTGTCCCCTGCATGAACGTCCTTGCCCTTGTTCAATAGAGGTTCGCATTCGGCCCTCGTGGCTCCCCTTCCCGCTTGCCCCTGCCCTCTACCCACCGACCCTCATTCATATCCGTGGCACTCCCCCTCCTCCTCCTTGCCACCTTCCGTCCACCAGTTGGCCGTTTTGGCTCAACCGTCTTCGCCGCATTGGGCGTCAGAGCAATCGCAGACTGTCACTCGAAGAGTTGCGGCACCGATTGATGGCTGAACGTGCTGAAGACATCGATGTTTTTTTTGATGACGGTATGAGTCCCGAGAAAGAGGAGCCAGTCGCCATGGTGGTTTGTGGCATCTGTGATGAGTCGGGCCCGAAGGAGGAACTCAGCCACGAGTACAAGGGGATGATGCTGCACCAAGTATGCTGGAACGGGCTGCGGGCGCACAACAACTGCATCAAGACTGCGCCTGCGCACGTCAAGGCCCAGGTCTTTGAGGAGTTCCAGAGCGACCGCCCTGCTTGGAAGAAACGCATGATGGCATGGAAGGACCCGAGCAAGCAATCACGGGAGGTCGCTCGCAATGACGTGGTGAAGAGTTTCAAGGCAGGTGTCGAGCATTCGACACACCAGAGCAACCTGAGCCTTGACGATGACATGGTCGTCAGCCTTATCGAGTTCCAGAGTTGGAAAGGGTTTTGGCATCGCACGACGGACGAGCAGTCTAAGATGGAATTCGAGCGCTTGCACCAGTCCCAGCAGGGGCAACACGACCTCAAGGACGCCAAGGGCGCCGTCATCGAGCGGAAGATCGCGTACAAGGACATCGGCAGGTTCCGCAAGGAGCGGGGCGCCACCGAGAAGTCGTTCACCAAGGAGACCTCGGAGGTGTCTGAGTTCGAGTACCAGCAGAAGCGCAGGCGTTTCTCTGTCAAATCTGCTCCCGCTGGCCCTGGGCCCAGCTCCTTGGCATCGGCAGCGCCCCCCCTTGAGTCATCTACGCGGGTGTATTCGTCGGAGCACTGGGTTGTTGGCGGGGATTCGGCGCCGACGCGTTCCGCAGGGACTTTGAGCGCTGAGACTCTGGCTCAGAACTTGGCGAGTTCTCCCAAGGACGGCAACGACGTTGGGGCACAGGGGCGGGCGTCGGACCACGGGAAGCAGTCATCAGCAGGAGGCGGTTCGAAGCCCAAGTTGTTCAACGCGAAGCTGGGGATCAGCATCGACGACCAGACCAGAGAGCGCACCATCCCCTCGGGCCCAGAGGTAGAGGCCATGGAGCCCATCAGCTTCATGGAGGCGAAGCGGCTGTGGGCCGCCATGGCCGCACACGTCGTGAAAGGGTTTTTGGGCCCCACCAGCGGCTACGTGAAGCAGCTCAACACTGCCAGCCAGGCGGTGGGCAAGGACAAGGAAGGCGATTTGCACCAGCCCACGTCGGAGTTGGTTGACAAGCTCACGGGCGTGGCAACGGAGCTCGAGACCTATGTCAGCAAGTGCGGGGAGCAGTGCACCAAGGCGGAGTTCGTCAAGCACGCGGTGGTGATGGACGCCAAGATGACCGACCTCGACGGGCAGAGGAAGCACGTGCAGTCGCAGCTCAGCGGGCTCAAGTACTTTCAGGAGAAGTTCGGCCACAACAAATCGATCGCGTACATGGGCCACTACAACAGGCGCGTCAAGACCACCAAGCGTTTGCAGAAGGGGGGCTTTGGAAAGGAATACGCCGACGCCATGAGTCGGGCTCTGTACGCAGCGACTGGCGACGAACAGCGAGCTTCTCTGACCGAGGCTGGAAAAGGCTCGTCCAAAGGCAAGACTAGAAAGGTGCTTCCCTTCCGAGGTGACGTCGAGGTGGACTTGGAGTTCAACGGCGACAAGGTCGCCATGTGGAAGGACCCTGAGACAGCGACGCTCGGGGTGATCAAGGACTTCATCGATAAGAACAATGAGGCGATCACGAGCAAGCTCAAAGTCCACCAGGAGCAGTTTGATGAGAACGGCGCCAAGTGGATCGGCTGTTGCGGGCGCCTGGGCTCCAGCGTCACGAAGGTGGACTTCGGCCAGGTGGGCTCGGAGGTCTACGACCTCCTCGAGGGGGGGCTGGCGCCGTGGGTCTGCACGGTGAAGCCAGACAGCCCCCGCGTGGGGCCGTCAGCGGTCCCCCTTTCGGGCTACGAGTGCGTGCTGGTGCCATTGACGCCCAACATGGCGTACTTCGTTCACCCCGTGGCGGAAGTGGTAGCCCAGGGGGTCTCGCTCAAAGACATCATGAAATTCTTCGAGACAGAGGAAGGGGCCAAGATCAACCAGGCTAGCTTCATCCTCCAGCCTGAGGTCGGGCAAGCGGCCCACGTTCCGTGCGGGCACGTCGTGCAGGTGCTCTTCTACCCCGTGGAGGCAGCAGCGACCTCCAGCAAGACCTGCAACCTCGGCCACACGTTGTTCATCCCCCTGCTGCACGGCGGCAGGTTTAAGGCCAGGGTGGCGGTGAGGAGGAGGAGATGGTGAGGAGGAGGAGGAGGGGGAGGAAGGAGGAGGATGAGGAGGAGGAGTGAGGAGGAGGGCGAAGATGAGGAGGAGGAACGATACTGTTTTTTGTTTGCAATGAGCGCCCTCCTCCACCTCCTCCTCCTCCCCCCAACCCTTTGGCCATTATCGTCCTCATCTTGCCGATGCTGCTGCCCTTAATTCCCTCCGCATCCATCTCTCCCCTGCCCTTGTACCGTGAAGCCTCCTGCTCGTGCTCCCTCCAGCTCCACTACTCACTTCTTCACCGCCCTCCCCTTCCCCTCTGGGCGCTTCGTCGCTCCCTCGAGGCCCTGGACGGGGCCGCGGGCACAGCTGTCAAGACGTCCAACATGGACTACATGCGCACAATGAGCAGCGCCATGTACAAGGATCGGCTCAGCTCATTGACGCGCTTCCATAGCGAGTGAGTGGAGGCGCAGGACGCAGGAGCGGGCGGCGCGGCCCTCGACGTGCGTGCTCGTGACATCGGCGCTCGCATGCACTCACGATCACACCCACTTTGAGAGCACCATCGCACGCTCGCACACACAAAGGTTCACACGCCACTGCGCGCACAATGCCATATTTTTTGGGAGGCCGAGTCGTCGGCGAGCGTCGGACATTTAGATGCTCGGATCTTGGTCCAACGGGGAGTGCTGCTGCCGCAAGTGTGGGGAGAACGGTAGCGAGCTCTCGATCGGTCTCTCGGTGCATGCAGTGCGCCGTGTCCTACTCGTGCCTCCCTATTGTCACGTTTCGTTGGCCACCGTCGTCGGCGTCGCCATTGCTATCGAGACATGCTCGTGGCATCGCAGTCTGCTCATTTAAGTCGCCGTCGCCATAGTCAGCCATTCCACCGAGATGATGCTAGTCACGATCGCCGTCGCCATCGCAGTCGCTTGCGTCACCGTCGCAAGCACGAGCGCGCGAGCAGGGGGGATGAGAAGGATGTGGAGGAACATGATGAAGGGGAGGAGGGGGAGGAGGAGGGGGAGGAGGAGGAGGAGGGGGAGGAGGAGGAGGAGGAGGAGGAGGCCTGGTCAGACTGCGTTCACCATTCATCTCTCACGTGCTACCTGGCATTGTATTCAACCCTGGGGTCTTCGAATGCTAGCCCTGCCTTCCGCCGCCCCCACCCAAGGACCTGGCCTTCTTGGATGCTCGCCCCAGGTCTGGTTTATGTATTTGTTTCGCGGGCCCTGCGGGGGCCCAATGCAATCCTACCGTGCGCTAGCTCAAGGTGGCCCCCCCCCCTCCATGGGTGAGCCCGTGCTAGCCTTTTTCTGGTGCCCCCCCATTCAATGTGCCAGAGCACCCCTCCCCGTCATCATCATGGCAACTGTCCTCATGCCCCCCTCCACCCCCGCCCTTTTCATCATCCTGCCTGTCCTCATTTTTTGTTGCGATTGGCGCGCGGCCGTCGGCCACCAACTCGTCAATAACTTACCCGCCTACGCTAGCACCCAACGTCAACAATATATAGATGAGACCACGCTGTGGCTTATCTACATGAGCTTCGTGCTCAAGCCATCGGCCTTGCTCGCCGAACACCCGCGCACTCCGCGCAATCATGTGAACCCGCACCAACTGGGCACGACCCATACGCCATGAGCAATGCACTTGGGTACCCAACGCACTGCTATGCACCACGCGCCCTGAGCCCACCTCTACACGCCCTGACCCATCACCCTTTGCACAAGTGGGCGCGCGAAGGACCCTGCGCGGAAATGCGTTAAAGCATTGCTTCGCGAGGCAGCTCGAAAGCCATCCGCGCGCAGACGACTGCGCATTGACTCGTAATGCCTGCGCAACTCGCGCGGCACATCAAGATACGGGCGCGGGCCGCCATCGCGCGATATCATGCGATGCAGTTTGGCACACCCACGCTTCGCATTTCATTGGGCTCGGAACGTGCGAACGCTGACGCATGCCAAGGCGCGCTCGCGAGCTCGTGGCGCACTTTCAGTGCCGCGGGACGGCACGCCCGAAACCATTGATCGACGCTAGCCCGTGATCCAGATGCCGACCTTGAATACCGATCGTGATGGCGCATCGATTCGCCGTGCCTTTGCGGCCGCGACGACTAGGATCCCTTTCCCCAAACTGCACCAACCAATATGCACAGTTCGTTGCACGCTGTGGGACAACCTACCAAAAACCACCGCTATTAAGGGAGGACGAAAACTTAAACCACCACATATAACCTTGAGGGTAGGCCGTTGGGCCGCGGGCAACCTTGCGCTTTCGCCTTTGGGCCAGATATTACCTTATTCAAGGAATGCCCCACGACAGTGTCTAGCCACCCGTTGCCGCCTCGTTGCCGCCTCGAGCGCTGGGTGGGTCCAGCGAGGCTTCGCGACGGTGCCGCCTCGTTGTCTCCTCGTTGCCGCCTCCTGCGCTGGGTTGGTCCAGCGAGGTTTCGCCGCGTTGGCGCCCGTTGCCGTTCCGTTCCCCCCTCTGGTTTGCTTCGCATACTTCACACCAAGTGTATTGCGCCACATAGTTTACACATCCATAGTACAAGAACTGATTGTTTGGTGTCCACGCTGGCAAATATCCTCTCATGGCGAACGCTGTGCAGCTCATGTGTTGCCAACGTCGAGTCGTAATCAGCACACTGATCATTCAGGCGCTCCCAGTGCTTGAAACAAAAGCACGCACTGCGACCCCAGTGCGCGTGGGAAATCACCCATCAGAACAGCTGGACACCTCGTAGATTGTCCGACGCGCGTTCTGGTGTTATGGGAGGAAGGACACGAGTGAGCGTGACCAGGTCATCAGTTTGAATTGTCTGTTCAAGTTCCCTATCCTCATCATGTTCCTACAACTCCTGGTCCGGTCCGCCGAACCCGACTTCTCTGTCACGCTATATCGAAGATGTTCGTTTCGGTAGCCGACGCCAGACGCTGGACATATCAATGCACCCATAGTACACAGCACAAGACCCAACACGTCCCCAGTGGGCGCGTTGACGTCAACGGCGCAAAAGCATGTTCGGGGGTTTGCGAAGAGGGGGGCGAGGACTCGGGGGCCAGATATCATGTCTGGGGACAGGGCATCTCCCAGATTTCACGGCCCCCTCCTCTTCTTGCCATGCGCTCCTTGGCTCCACACCCCGTCCGCCCACATGCCCGGTGGGAACTGGTGCGCCGACCCCCCTCGTTTTGCCCCTCCCATTTGTGCCCTGAGTCTCGTGCTCGTTTCCGTGCGAGCCACTGCGCTTTCAGAGCGGACTTCGGACTCGGGGGTCCCGGCGGTCTCCCCGTCAAGCCCCCTCTCCTGCGTGCAGCCGTGCCACGTTGCTTCGCGCGGGAACTCGCACGTCCGAGTGCCCAGGCGCTTCGCACATTCAAGTGGCACGTGCGTGCCAGGGCTCATACAAAAAGAAATGTGGCACGCAAGCATCGCAGAAGATGAACAAGAAGTGGAACATGAAGTCGGCAGAGGAACAATCAAAGAGGAACGGTAGTGAGGATCACCAGGAGGCTGTTGGGAAGACGGGGCCATATCGAGGTCGCAATCGAAGGCAGGTGGGGTTGCCATACCTTGCAAAGTTAGTGGTGGAGGAGGGGGTTACACACCTAGTGATTGAAGTTGACAAGCAGCTCGAAAGCCAATGTTTGGAGGATGTCTTGAGCGAAACTGGCAGTTTTGAAGAATACGATAACAGCATTTTGAATTCCCATTTTGATGTTGGACCGTAACGTCACGATTTTTGTGAGGGGTGCGTCCAGATTTCTGAATTGTCAGGATGGCCCGAGCAAGACGGCTACACAAGAACGCCACGGCTCCAATTCATAGCATCTGAGCTCTATTCCCTGGAAGAGGTGCGTATGAACACACACGCACACATAGAAGGAGACATATATATATACATACATACATATACGTATGTGTATATATAGTGGTCGGTGTTGTCGATGTTACGGTTGTAGAGTGTGGGTGGGCGGGGAGCAGCTGTCTGGCTGGATAGTATATGTGTGTTGTATATGAAACGTGTTCCTGCTCATGTTACTGTTTCTGCTTCTGGCCGTCCTTCACTACGGTTGTCCTTTGCATTGTACCCCCCCGTTGTTTTGTTGTATGTTGTATCCGTCCAGGCTCGACATTGAGCCAGAGCACACCAAACTACCATACACCCGTGCTCCCTCTGATTATGAGTGGACCCTCGCATGCTTGTCTCGTGGACCGATGTGCTGTTTTCTTCACTGGCGCTGCCAGGGATTATGCAGCACTCTCAGGCCATGGTGTCTGCCTGGCAGTGGCTGCACTTGTTTTTCCGCGGGCTATTCTCAGGGAGTGTCGCCGCTTCCTCCTGCCTCCCTCCTCCTCGCTGCTCCTCGTCCTCAGTTTCCTCCTGCCCCCTTCTCCCTCCTCATTTTCCCCCTTCTCCTTCGCTCATGCGCCGCCGCCGTGTCCAGTTCCTTCCCAGCCCGTCAGCCAGGGCTCGTTTCAGATTTGCCTCGACTTCGGATTCCGAGTTGGGCTCCGATTCGTCCATGGAGGCCTACTGGCCTGCCGATTCCCGCCGGTTCGACTTCTTCCGACTCGGCCGTCGATTGCCGCCGATCCGATTCAGTTTCGATCGCCGACCTGACGCATCGATGCGGTTCTGGGCGCTCTCCTGGTCGGCACCCTCTGCGGCGCGGCAGCAGGCGGCCCTCGACGCGACGAAGCACCACGCCCACAGGGCCGCGAACTGGTCCAAGGACGCCGCGCGGCGGCTTGTGTGGGTACGTGGGGCCACCCGCCTGCCCCCTTTGGCACGGGGCCCGGAAGTACAGACCACCACCTCAAGCAGTGGCGAAGGGTCCTGGCTCGCCTGGGTGCCTACCAAAGAATGCTCTAAGAAGCTTTTGTGGCTTCAGCGACATCTTCTTAGAACATTTATGGCTGGGGTTGTCTTGTTTTAACACATCGGGTTGATGTTCTAAGAACCTTGTTTTTGCTCTTAGAACATCTGCTTGTTATACGACCATTCGTGGTAGGCCTATAGGGATGCCGGGACGGTCGGTCTCTGCTCAAACCACCTCCCGCACCCCCGCACCCGCCTCAGGAAGAAAGGGGTCGGCGGCGAGCGAGAGGGGGGGGAGTGAGAAGGAGAAGGCCCTCTCAGAAGGCGGCAGGGCTGCTCAGAAGCCCTCCGGCCTTCTGAGCAGTTTTCCGTGTCTTCGGGGAGGGCTTAGATCAGGAGGGAAAGAAACACACAGACACAATTAATCGGCGATTCCCGAGAACATATGGGAAAATATGGGAAGTGGGGGGGAAGACAAAAACCTAGAACATGAAGGAAAATATGGGAAATCTGTTTATTTGTGTGTATTTATTTGTGTGTCCCAGGGCCTCTTCATTAGAAAGTTTCTCAGAAGGCCGGGGGACTTCTGAGCCTTCTGACAAGGCCGTCTCGTTCTCACTTCTCCCCCAGGCTCGCCGCCGAAGGAGGGGACGCGAAGGGTGGAGGAGCAATGGGGGAATGGAGGCGATGGTGCTGTACAGTCAACATCGGTGGTAAGCATGAGTGGCTTTTCAAGGTTTCCTGCGCATCCTTTGTCTTCGGCCCTTCCTTGGCCACGTTCATTGGCCGCGCCCCGCTCGAAAAGTGTCAGCACGGCATTCCGAGGTCCTTGCATACTTCTCGTGCATCTTCACTGCCAGTTTTGATTATTCTAGTGTTCCAGTCCTGCAGCGACCTCGACAAGACATTGGTTCGGGTGGCTTCTCTTCACAGTTCTCGGAGCCTGCAGGCCGCTTTTGGCTCTAGGATCTGTAAAGAAGAATGAGGATCAGAGGAGGAACGCCAGTCGTTGATAGAAGGTACTTCTGGTTCCCAGATCCCAATCTTTGTCAAGCCCCTTCCTACTTCAATAATCGACACGTTCATCTTGTCGTTTGCTATTCTCAGGGCGAGCCCGATCCCAATCTACGTTATCCGCCCTCATACTTCATGTTTTCACCAACTTCGTTCCACTGGCGGGTGCCGATGCCTCGCCTTTGTGTGGCCTCCTGGGAGGCCCTTGCCGCCAAGGCTGGATTCGCTTCGAATTATTCTTGGTCAGAGCGCCCTCCAGCAGAGGTCCTCGAAGTTGCGGTACAACCAGGACGCTGGAATCAGGCACAGGTCGGGTGCGGAAGGGGCTCGATGATCCTTGGGTCCTTCCGTGGCTGTTTCTCTAGCCCTCCTCGTGCATCCAGGCTCTTCTGGTGCCTTGGAGGGACTTCGCTCCGCAGCTAGCGTTCCTTATGTCGTCAGCCAGACTGCATCTGTACAGAGTCCAGCTTGAGTAAGGAACACGTAATTTTCATAAGGGGCTCGGTCGTTCCTTTGGTTTGCATGCGTTCCGCTACCTTTTTGGCGGCGCGCCCCCCTGGCGTTCCTTCGGATGTCCTAGACTTACTTGGAAAAAGGAGGTTTCTTTCCTTATTGATCGCTCCTTAGGTCAGGCCGAATGCTGTAGGTGATGTGGATCATCAGCTGGCGTTCCCGAACTGCGGCGCTCCGGCGGTCTCCGTTGCCCCCAGAGGGGTTGCGCTCCCGCGGGAGGGGGGTTCGAGAGTTCCGCCGGGGGGCCCCAGCGGCCCGTCTTCGTGGAGTCGTCGGAGGCCCGGGCCCCTCGGTTGGCGGCGCAGGCCAAGGGTGGCCCATCGGGGGCTGCCTCGCAAAAGCCCAGGACTGCCTGGTGGGTCGCGGGGGGGTCGCGGGGGGGGTCGCGGGGTGGCTCGCGGGGTGGGTCGCGGGTGGGTCGCGGGGTGGGTCGCGGGGTGGTTCGCGGGGTGGGTCGCGGGTGCGTCGCAGGTTGGGTCGCAGGTGGGTCAAGGGGTTGTTCGCGGGGCAGGTGGCTCAAAGGATGGGGGGGCCGGGCCCGAGGGATGCACAGTCAACCCGTAGAGCAAGGAGAATCGATGTCCAAAGGGTACCCTGGCATCCCTGCCTCTTCGGCCCTCTTCGGTCCATCCTCAGCCTCTGTCGATGCCCAGCCCCGCTTCCAGAGCCTCGGCATGGGCGTCCAAGGTCCTTGCGTCCTGGCCGCGCATCATGGTATACGGGCTGGCTGTGGTCTCAAGCAGTGGCGGCGCAGCTAAGATTCCTTTCCTAATTTCGGCGGCGAGCGAGGGGAGCGAGTGAGAAGGAGAAGGCGCTCTGAGAAGACGGCGGGACTTCTCAGAAGCCCTCCGCCCTTCTGAGAGTTTCCGGTGTCATCGGGGAGGGTTTTGAAACATGTCTCGGCGAGGGCCTTCAAGAATGGACCAATGTTCCACCAGCACCACTATCATAGGCAGGACGGGGGTCCTCCTTCTCCTCCTCCTCTTCCTCCTCCTCTTCCTCCTCATCCTCCTCCACCTCCTCCTTCTCCTACCTATGGTAGTGTTGGTGGAAAATCGGCACATCATTCGAGGAGCATCCTCGACCGTCTGGCATCCGACAAAAACACGCACGACATGCATTGAGAAGGGACGTCCGAGCGATGGCAAGAGATGGGGAAAACACCTTTCTGTCTGGGCCTCCCAAGCGGGGTCCGAACAGATGGGGTCGGAGGTTCGCGGCGCATCGCCGATGCATCGGCGATGCGGCTCGATGTGGAGCCAGATCTGATTCTCGCCGGTGTCGCCGATGCACCGCCGACGTCGCCGAGGCATCGCCGATGCATCGGCATTTCAGCACGATCCTTCGAACTCATCTACCCAGATCCATTTAGGAGGCTTATGCATTCTTGCATACACATCGTGGGGGCGTTGGTTAAGGACTGTGCCCAGGAGGACTACGATCCTGGAAGCTTCATTGTCTGATGAGGATGGCGGTGATATCCATCGCCATTTCACAACTGGAGAATCCTCGGCTTCGAGACCTTTTGATTTCCGATCCAATGGTTCCTTATTCAAAATCCTCACCGTAGTTGCGGGGCCTGGAGGAGGGCTATCATTTCTACCTGTATTCTCCCATTGCAAGCCAATCTCAGGTGGCTTCAGTTAACCAGAGGGGAGAGGCACCGGTGAAATCAGGTGAGGTCGGGCCCCCTGTTGACGCGCGGACGCCAAGGACAAGGCCTCCCAGGCCGTCTCCCACGCTGCCGGCTGGGTCGACAACAAGACTGGTATCGGGGACCGACGCGATTGAGAAAGAGAGGGGAGAGAGAGAGAGAGAGAGAGAGAGTGGGACTCTAACGGGATGTCGATATGCAAGCGGACAGCGCATTTGGATGCAGTATCGGATAAGCGTTGCCGCTCGAGCAGGGCGCCACCAGGTCACGCTGCGAACACTCCGTAGGCGCGCCCAGCGTGCGAGCTGGGAAGGAGTGCGGGCCACGCGGACGAAGGAGGGATGAGAAAGATTAGTCCAGAAGCTCTGACGAGGAGTTTGGGGAGTCCATGAGCCTCTGGAGAGGAGTTTGCCTGCCCGGCAACGCAGCGTTCCCCGAACAGTGCTTTCACCAAGGCTTCAGTCGGGCCTGTGCCTCTACAGGGGATATGTATCAAAAACAATCAATTAATAGTCTGGGGACTGTGTTTGGGTGTTGTTGGGCATCTTTTGAGCATTTTTTGAATTTTTCGTCGAAGCTCCCCCTGTAGGGGGGCACGCCCGACTTAAGCCTGGCGGCGCAGCGTGCCCCAAACAGTGCCTGCACCAAGGCATTCGGGGGGCAGGAGCGTGGCCGCGGCACCGTGCTCGCAGCCGCCACCACGAGCGGCACAGCGGACCTTCGTCGGGGTTAGGCTTACGTCGGGCCTGTCCCTCTACAGGAGGAATATCCAAAAATAGTAAAGAAATGTTCAGGGGACGATGTTTTGAATGTTTTTTGGTTATTATTTGGGGGATATTTTTTGAGTACGTTTAATTATTCGCTCAAAGTCAACTGTAGGGGGACACGCCCGACCTAAGGGTAGGCTCGGGAGGCTGAGGCTGCACGTCTCACGGGTGAAGCTCTGTTTGGGGCGCCAGGCGCCCTCCAGCGTCGCCGCGAGCGCGTGGTCTACTCGTGTCCTGCCAGCCTCCCCCGCGAAGCTTGTTTCAAATCGTGTCGCTCCCTATCTTTTTCAGGAACCGCGTGCCCCCATTATACGCGTGCGGCCCCCATAAGGGGCCCTCAAGGTGTCCTCCGAGAGCTGGTCGTGTCGTCCGGGGGATCGGCCGTGGGTCTGTGGCTCCCTGTGGCCTCCGACTATTTGGCCACTGGCCCCGTCGCTCGTCTAGCGAGTCGTCCTCGGGTGCCTGGCCTCCCGGGGGCTCCTTTGGTTTGGGCCCCTCTGGCTTCACTGCGTCTGCGTGCCCGTCGGGCCCTGGCTCCCGGCCTATTCTGGCTTCACACCGCGTTTGGCATGACTTCTCCGTCATCAGTCTCTTCGAGTGCAGAAGCATCCACTTCTTGTCGTCTCCCAGACAGTGCTTGGACTGACCTGCTTGGGCCTGTTTGGTTTTCCGCCATGCTGGCCCTGCTTGTTGCACTATCTCGTGGCTGCTTGGACCCTTGCAACTTGGACCCCTTATGGTTTGCCGCCCCAATGGTCCTGCGTGTTGGACTTTTTTCTGGTGGCTGTTCTAACCCGTTCATTGCTTTGACCCCCACATGGCTTCCCACCGCGCTGGCCTGCGTGTTCTACGTTCCAGTGGCTGGTTGGACCCTTACCCGAAAGTTTCCCACCCTACTGGCCCTGAGTGCTGCGTTTTTCCAGTTGCCGTTTTGACCCCTGCCGTTTGGACCCGTGCAATTTTGACCCCCTTCGGTTTGGTCCTTTTACGCTTGGCTGCACGCACGTAGAGCTTCACACCTACAGCTCCACAGACATAGGGCTCCACGCACAAAGGGTTCCACACACACACACACACACACACACACACACACACACACACACGCACACATACACACAATGCCGCACCCTGTGATTATCTGGGGCATCCGGTTAGGGCTCCACACACACAAGGTTCCACACACACACACACACACGCACACACACATACACACAATGCCGCACCCTGTGATTATCTGGGGCATTCGGTTAGGGCTACACTCACATAAGATTCCGCGCATACAGGGTTCCAGACACACATGGTGCCACACACACTGGGTCCCTCACGTGGTGTACGAGTGAGATGTTTCGTGCCCCCGCGCTTGGGATCATTCAGGCTCTCCCTCGCTTGACCCGGCCATCCTTTTGCGAGGCGCTGCAACTGCGGCGCGAAAGGGGCCGTCCTCCTTGCTGAGGGTGATCCCGCAGATCGCCGCAGATCTTCCTTGGGTGCTTGCGGAATGGACGGGTTCAGGGTCTGCATTGCCCGCGCTTGTTTGCACGAGCGAAATGGGCACGGAAAAACCGGCACAATGCCCAACAGCGGTTCCTGTTCATTTTGAACAGGACTCGCTGTCCACGCCGCCGCGGCTTGTGTCCATTCGAGACAGAAGGCCGCCTGCCCAGCAGCGGCCGCTGTTGGTTTGGGGCAACATTTGTTGTTGGGCAGTGTACCCATTCTTTTCGTACCCATTGCGAGCGTCCAAAGCTTGGGCCTGCGGGCCGCGACCTTCCTCTCCCGTCCTCTTCATATCATTGCTGGGCTCCGTCCTGGGCAGTGCGTTCCCGAGGCGGCACTTGGAGCAGGGGACGATCGCTTTCGGCGTAGCCCCAAGGGTCCACCCCGCTCCGAGCTTGGGCCCCCTCAAGGGGCTTTTCCTCCGAGCGTTATTCACTCTGCCAGCTGACCCAACACACGAGGCTCTTTCGGAATTGTTGACGCTTCGCGAATCCCCACAAGTTCCAGGGCGATGGGGCGCTGTACACTGGATCCCCGCTGCGCGCCTGCAAGGTCGAGAACGAGCTGGGCGTTCAGGACCCTTCGGGCCTTTGGGACCCTGCTGGCTGCACAGCGGATGGCTGCGCGGAGAATCTCGCTCACCACTGGCAGGCAGAGCTGAAGAACGGTCGCGTGAGCATGCGGGCGACCATGGGCTACATCACGCCTGACATCGCTGGCAAGTTGCCCGAGTCGCCTTCGGCTGACCTGGAGTTCGTGGACATCCCGCGCGGGCTCGTTGCGCTCCCGAAGGTTCCTGCCGCTGCCTGGGCATAGATCGTGGCGCCTGGCGCTGACGCGAGAGATCTCGATACTCACAACGACATTTCGGAGCATAGCAGCAGCAGCAGCAGCAACAGCAACATGCCACCCCCCGCTCCGATGACAGATGATGACGTCCCAGAGGGGAATCGAGAGGCGGCTGATGAGGCGGAGGAGGTCGTCGTCGAGGAGGTTCAGAAGAGCTGCAGACACCAACAGAGCACCAGCAGCACCAACAGGGCTGCAGCAGCCGCCGCCGCCGCAGCAGCTGGGCATCAGCAGCAGCAGCCGCAGCAGCAAGGCAGCAGCAGCAACTGCAGCAACTGCCGCAGCGGCTGCAGCAGCAGCAGCAGCAGGACCCAGCAGCAGCTGCAGCAGCAGCAGCAGCATGGCAGCAGCAGCAGCAACGGCACCCCGCAGGGCGGAGGAAATGAGGCAGAGGTCACGAGACCACGCCCCGCATCGTTGTCAGACGATGACGTCCCAGTGGTGAATCGAGAGGCGGTAGCATGCCGTGACCAGTGTACAGCTCACACTAACACACACACACCCTTCAGTAGTACCAGCAGGGCAGAGGAAAGGAGTGGGTAATCACGGCGGAGACGGCGGAGGCTGCGGAAGCCGCGGAATACCCCCCTCAGAACAATCAGTCCGTCAGCAGTCCTCTGGGAGCGCCACGCACCCAGCAGGGAGACCACGGAGCAACCATCCAGACGCTGGACAGCGAAGCCATCCGTTGGCTCGTCGGGAGAAACCTCCTCGCGCCTATTCGCACCCCTTCCCCTGACAGTGAGCTTCTTATGGGCGGCGAGCGCCAGGCGCCCTCTCCAGGCGCCCAGGGCACCGCTGGCAACGCAGCTCGCGCCCCGGCTATGGAAGCTGTGCCGCCGAGCGTGCACGCGCCTGGCACAACCAGCGGTGCCCCAGAAACCGGAGAGAGTCCTGCGCTTTCCAAAGAGAACGCACCTGGGAGCGACGGCGGGCGCAGGCCCGAAGGCGAACGCAGGCGAGAGGGGCCCTTCCCCAAGTGCCACAAGGCTGCGTCTGCCCTGGCCGCCGGGCGCGATCCGACCCCCGCCTGGCGGCCAACCATGCGGCCTGCATTTCCCCGCAAAACACCGCCAGGCGTGCAGCCGGAACTGTCGCGAGCAGATCGCGAACCCTCCAGCCAGGACAACGAGGCTGGTACGTTGGAGACTTGCGGCCAGAACACACGGCGGCACCAAAGGCCCGACCCGCGCCAGTGGCCAGAGCCCAAGGACCCCGGCACGGGACAACAGCTCTACATAACAGGAATCAGCAACATCCAGTGGGACCTCCCCGGGAGACACCCGGCGACGCGATAAGACGACTCCAAGTCACACTGGGGCCAATGTTCACTGGCACCTGGGACGCTTTCGCCAAGCGGCAGTCCGTGCCCGGCAGCAAGGGCGCGGTCGACCCGCTTCGGCACGACCCGCAAACCTGCCACCTCTTCCTGGAAGCCTTCCGCAGCCACAAGTGCGACGCACGGGTCGTCAGCGACGCGCTGGGCTTAGACGTCGACTGGACTCGGCCGTGGCAGCTGCACCTGGGTCGGAGCGGCGGAGTGAGCAGTGAATACCACGCGGCAAAGGGCCACCCGAACAACCAGGCCACCAAGCAGCGCAAAAAACTGTGGTGGGCCGTCTCCCCGCAGTAGCCTTGCTGCCCCCCCATCGTGGCATCGGTCACGCGGGGATCAGGTGCGTGGAGGGCGGTCGCTGGCAGCAGGCCCGTCGCTGCCCTGCAAAACGCGGCCCGCGGAAGGGGTCTTGTCTGTGTGCGACTTGTCTTGACTCCTGTTTCGTGCAGAACTTCCACTCTTTCATCTTGGCTGTTGTCTACGTGCTGCGTGTGTTGCTATACCGTCGACTTCAGTATGTTTCTCCTTTGTTTGCGCGCTGCGGGCGTGGCTTTACCGTGGACAGTCAGGTTTTCTACTTGGAGGTTTCCCTTCTCTGTTGTCTACGAGTTGCACACCGTGCTCATCAGCGCGATTGGAGGTCCCATTATTTCTTTCTTTCTTTCTTTTTCTC